TAAAAATTCTGATGAGTTCAAGGTGTTCATAGGCAAGGATTGCTGTGATGTTTTGACTAGTTCAAAGCTCTTGTTAGCAAAGATCATCCAGACATAGACTTTTCTATGTATGATATTCTAGCTGAGAGCAAAGAAGAAGATTAAACTCCGTAGTAGCAGTCATATTTATATATATATATTAGGTTTTTTTTGCTTTCTTAGCATGTCGACCCCTTATAACTTTTCAGAATATCTCTCAATTCAAAGAAAAGTTGCTCTACTTTTGACATTTTGCCTTTCATGATATTGCTCCATACTTGTTATTTCCTTATGCAGAATTCCTTTTACTTTTTCAGGCTTCACTCAGCCCGTCCTTCTTTTGAAGGAATGTATTTTTACGAGCTTCACCCAGCACGTCCCTTTAGTAAGGGAATGTCAATTATTTCGTTTAATAAAGAAATGGACTTAATGCTTTACTTGTCTTTTCGTGACTTATTAAATTCAATAGTAACGTAGTCAGCAATAGAAACATGTGAAATAAAGATGAATAATTATTTTATTAAAGACTTATCGAAAATAATATTCGATAGTTGAGCATCAGCATCCATTAAACACTGGTTTGCTTTATTGAAGCTAAAAACATGCTATCACTTTAAAAGTGAGATAATAAAACAAAACATAGCCTGGCATAAATACCTACTGGTAATATTTCCTCAAATGTTCTGTATTCCATGGGTGGGGAAGTTGGCTTCCATCAAGTGTCTCTAACCAATATGCCCCCGGTCTGTTGCTGTGGGTTACTTAATAGGGGCCCTCCCAGTTGGGAGCTAACTTTCCTTCCCCTTTTTCCTTAATAGCCTGGGTAACCTCGCGAAGCACCAGGTCTCCTAGTTTGAACCTCCTTAGCTTGACCCGGACATTGTAGTACTTGGCTACCATTCGCTGGTAAGCTGCAACCTTAACTTGGGTCTGTTCTTTTTTTCTTCTACCAGGTCTAAGTTTAACCGCAGTTCCATCTCGTTCTGTTGAGGTTCGAAATACTTGGTCCTAAAGGTGGCAACCTTTGTTTCTATTAGGATCACTGCTTCACTTCCAAAAGCTAACCCAAAGGGGGTCTGCCCAGTGGGGGTTCTCACGGTAGTGCGATATGCCCATAAGACTCCGAGCATTTGTTCAGGCCACAAGCCCTTGGCTTTTTCTAGACATGTCTTGATCATCTTCAGTATAGTCCTATTCGTGACCTCAACTTGCCCATTGGCTTGGGGATGGGCAGGAAAAGAGAAATGAACTTTGATCCCAAGGTCATTACAAAAATCAAGGAACTACTCACTTTCAAACTGCTTCCCATTATCTGTCACAATCACCCTTGGTGCTCCAAACTTGCAGATTATTATTTTCCAGAAAAACTTCTTTACTTCATTTGCGCCAATATGAGCTAACGGCTCAGCTTCTACCCATTTGGTGAAGTAATCGATAGCCACAATTACATATTTAGTTTGTCCCTTCCAGGGGGATAAAGGGCCGATGAGGTTCGTCCCCCATTGGGCAAAAGGCCACGGCCCGTAAGAGGTGTTAACTCTTCTGCGGGTTGTTTTAGGACATTGGCGAATCTCTGACACTTGTCACATTTCCTCACAAAATCAAGCGCATCTTTCTTCATAGCAGGCCAAAAGTATCCTTGTCGGATAGCTTTATGCGCTAATGATCTGCCCCCCGCATAGTTTCCACAAAGGCCTTCATGTATGTCCTTTAGAATGTAGTTTGCCTCATCAATGGAGATGCAACGCAAGTAGGGTAAAGAAAATCCCTTTTTATAGAGAACCCCATCAATGAGGGAATATTTTGTTGCACGCATCCTGATCTTTCATGCTTCCATGCGATCTTAGGGTAGCTCTTCGTTCTCTATGTACCTGATAATGGGTTTTGCCCATCCATGCCTTGGATCACCTGGTGTATTTTCTATGGCCAATCCCAGACCGTGCTAGGCTCATCCAAATGTTCCACAGGTATGGCTCTATCTTCCTCTGCAGTTGCTAGTCGAGCTAGGGCGTCTGTCTACTCATTATCTTCTCTAGGGATCTGATGAATGGAGAAATTCTTAAAAAAACCCTTGATATCCTCTATCTTATGCAGATAGGTCTTCATCTTCTCATCCTTCGTTTCATATTTCCCCTGGACTTGTCCAGTTATTAGTTGAGAATCAATATACGCTATTAGTCGTTCAACTTCTAGGGCTTTAGCCATCTTGAGGCCTGCCAGGAGGGCTTCATATTCCGCCTCATTGTTGGTTGCCTTAAATCCAAACCTGAGTGCATATTTGATGCATTCCCCATTTGGGGAGACAATTACTAGCCTTGCCCCACTTGCACGGGCGTTGGCTGACCCATCCACATATAATGTCCAAGTAGTTTCAGTTTCTTCTTGTTCATTCACGCCATGCTTGTGCCCATCTTTTGGTGTGAATTCTGCTATAACATCTGCCAGTACCTGGGCTTTTAAGGCCGTCCTGGGTTTGTATTGGATATCGAACTCTCCAAGTTCTACCGACCACTTCATGAGTCGCCCAGAAGTATCAGGTTTGTGGAGGACCTGCCTAAGTGGTTGGTCTGTCAGTACTATTATTGTATGCGCTTGGAAGTAAGGCCTGAGTTTCCTTGCAGAGACAACTAGAGCAAATGCCAACTTCTCTATCCTTGGGTACCTCTCTTCTGGCCCCCTGAATGCACGGCTAGTGGTGTCAATCCCAAAAGTTTATCCAATGTGGCCAAGTTTTACATTTAGAAATTGCCACTACTACTTTTCACTAAAAATATAGCTAGGGCGAGTAGGATCATCCCAAGGGATTGAGGGTCGTACTAGGTTAAGGAATCAAAATTAGGGTTCGTAGGTCGAGTAATCAAAATAGTGGTTGGTTGGTTGGATTACACTAGATGCAAATTAAACTAAAGTAAACAATAATGCAATAGATAGAGTAAAAGAGAGAGAGATATTGGGGTTTAGAGATCACCACTAAGCATAGCTTTTCTACACCTTTAATGAATGATTAATGAGGGGAAGAACATGTATTGCAACAAAGTGTGTGTGTGTGGTTGTTTCAATAAGCATGGATGACAAATTAAGCATATATTGTCTAAACAACAAGGTGGATAGCATAACATATCAAATTAAGTCATTAATCCTTTCTTTAAGCTCACAATCCAAACACATCACAAGGTTAGAGATATATGTTACTTGCTTTTCATAAGTATGGAACATCAACAATAAGCATGGATTGTCCTCCCATTTAACAACCACACTACAACTAAGCTAATGACATGAAATTAAACTAATTAAACTAAGGGAGAGGTACAATCCATCAAGCAATGAGTATGAACCATCAAATAAATCACAAGAACATGACATTAAGCACCATGTCTTGACAATCTCTATAGCATCAACACACATAAACATGCATCAATAACACAAGAAATAGAGACAAACACATGAACATATATTCTAGCATACATAGACATATGGATAGAATGAAATGATCAATTGAAAGCATTAAACCATATCAATCATTAAAGAAACAAGATCTATATATATATAAGTGTTAAGACATGAATCACAATACAAATTTCCTCAAAAATACATAAATCAAGAGGTAAAAAGCATGCTTAGGGCTAACTCTAGCCCCAAGAGGATGTCTAGCAACTCATAGATGATGTCCTCTAACCCTCAAGGGCAAGCTTCATAGAAGAAATCTGTTCCTTGGTTGATGAAGAGTCTCCAACGGTGTCTCTAGCCTCCTCCTCCTCTTTTGCTTCCTCCCTAAGAGTTCTACAAGGTATGATATGATATGATGTAAAAAGTAATCCTTATCTTTATATAGGTAGGTCAAATGACACCCAAAATGAGCTGGGGTCGTACAACAAATATTCCCCAATGATTGGATAAAGGACAACTTTTTGTGAGCTGGAAATTTAACTTTTTCGCACTGGAGGGAGTTCGATCGATCGAACCTTGGACTTGGATCGATCGAACATGGCTGAAATCTATCGAACTTAGGCTAGATCGATCCACGATGGCGGCACCTTTTTGGATAAAAACAAATCTGAGATATTTTGAAGATATTTTTGGGAAAAGGACAAAAGTGGTTGGTAGGGTGGTACAACTGGATAAGATCAATCATTTGGATAAGGACAAGAATGTTCGATCAATCAAAGAAGAAAGTTGGATCGATCGAACTTTTGAGATCTTTGAACAGGGATAAACATGCCTCAGATCCATCTTGAAGTGCTGAGATCAATGAAAGTTGGATCGATCGAACTTTTCTTGAGATCGATCGAAGTTGCTGAAATTTCACCCTTTGCTTCATTTTGCTCTACTTTGCTCTTTTCTTTGATTCATCCCAGAATTGCTTCAATTATGCTCTTATTTGGCTGAGTTAGCTTATTTTGGGGATAAGTACCTGAAAATGGAAATAACACGAAATCAATACAAAATGGTAAAATAAGATAGATAAAGGTCCTGGAATATCTAAGCTTAAAGGGTTTAAATACGCACTTTTCAACGCTCATCAGCTAGTATAATATACTGGTTTCTAGACTCCATCCTCTTCGCAGACTAAGGCTGAGCTTACTGCCGATGGAGAAACCGCCAAGTATAAATACAACTGCTCTCCTTGTATCACCTGTAATAGTAACAGTGGTGAAGTGAGATACTCCTTCAGCTCTGTAAAAGCTTGCTCACACTCAGGTGTCCATGAAAAAGCTTTCCTGAGCACACGAAAAAAAAAAAAAAAACAAACACCTATCCGTTGCCCTTGAAATCAACCTGTTCAGAGCAACGATTCTTTCTACACCAAGCTCTGTGGGGAAGCGCATCAAGAGGTGATAAGTCGAAGTAATGGCCCTCATCGAGTTTAAGGTCGTTCTTCTTAGGATAACTGTAAGCAGATGGACAATCCACCACCAGGAAGTCTACCATAACAGTAACTTATTTTGGGTTGGTTCTTGTAGTGACGGGAAGAATGACCGCTCCTAGAGGATAGACCTTTCTTCTGTGAATCCCACCAATAGTGATCTAGTAGGTCTGAATTTCTCCTTACCAATCTTCATTTTGCTGAATGCATCTAGGAAAATGATATCAGTCGAACTTCCATTATCTACCAAGATCTGCCAAATACTATAGTTAGCAATCATCATGGTGACAACGAGAGGGTCATCATGAGGTTGTTGCACATCCTTAATATCTTCATCTAAGAATGTGATAATAGGATCACCTAGACGAGGCATCTTTTGATGTTGAATTTGTACTCCAACTTTGCACTCCTCAAATGAGCTTCGCATTCTCCTGGCATAGGCCTTACAGGCTGAGCTTGATTTTCCACCTCCGACACATCCCCCGGCTATGACCCTGATTTCTCCTATTGGTTGTTGATTAGGAAGGCGGTTATTTTGGCCTGCTTTAGGTGGATTAATGTCGGTTCTGTTATTCCCCACAATAAACTTTCGCATGTGCCCCATTCGGATCAAAGTCTCAATCTGATCCTTGAGGTCGAAGCAATCCTCTGTAGCGTGCCCATGGTCTTTATGGAACCAACAATACTTATCACGAGGTCTCGTTGCCGGATCTGACTTCAACTTCGGTGGCCACTTCAGATATGGTTCATCCTGGAACTGCAGGAAAACTTGATCTATCGGCATATTTAAAAGAGTATAATTTGTACACCTCTCCGCGTTCTTATAACGAGACGCCCTTTCATTTTGGTTGACCATGGGTTTCTTATACTTGGTTTCCTTTTCATCTTTAGTTACTAGAGCCGGCTTTTTCTTGTCTGTCTTCTTATCCTCCCCTTCTTTTTCCTTTCTTGCAATCATTGCATCTTCAGCATTCATATGTCTTTTAGCTCGAACCAGTAACTCGGCTATGCTGGTAGAAGGTTCCTCTGATAAAGAGAAGATAAATCTCGAGGTTTAGAGTCCTCCCATAAAGGTGGCTAGGGCCATTTTGTCATCCGCTTCTTCCACTTGCAGCATCTCCGTGTTGAAATGACTAATATAATCTCGCAGTGACTCTCTCTTCTGTTGCTTCACAGTAAGAAGGTGGGTAGCTCGCCTTCTTTGCCTCTGGCTAGCAATGAAATGGCCCACAAAGCCCTTACTCAATTCTTCAAAGGTTTCAATAGTCCCTGGCTCAATTTGTTGAACCATACTCGTGCTGATCCTTTGAGGATCATTGGGAAGGCCCTGTACATGATCTCATCTGGCATAGCGTGCAGGTGCATAAGCACTTGAAAAGTCTCCAAGTGGTCGAGGGGATCTTTAGTTCCGTCGAAACTCTCAATTGTGGGCATTCTAAATTTGCTTGGCAAGGGGCACTTCATAACCGAGGGGCTGAACGGCAAGTTGGTCTTCTGCACCAAACCATCTATGGTTGCAATGCCTTTCCCCTTCATGGCCTGTATCACATCCTCCATCTTTTCCTTGAGATCCTACATCTCTAGGTCAACGTGGGAAATCTCCTTTGTCTTTTTAATGACAGTTGTGTCTTCATGGGGTCGGGAATTCCGTGGAAGAGATGGGTGGATCACCTCTCTATGTCGGTTCCCCACCTGGCTTTGTTTTACTTCGGTCTCATGTCGGGGAGGATGATTATCCTACTCCTCCAGATTCCTATTACCTCTGTTTGGATTCGAGAGGTCTCATCGTGGCAAGTTCTGTTGAACCGGTGGAACAAGGTGTTGCAGGAGTGCTGCATTTTGCTGGATCAACTGGTCCATACCCTGATTCAGAGTTTGGACCTGCAGTTCCAACGCTACAAGCGATGTTTGGTCGTTTGGGACGTCTAGGTTTTCACCCGACTCTTCCCTTTGACCAGATCCCTACGATGGTGTTCCTTCGGTAACCATACCGGACCGCAAACGTATATACCTAACCGAGTGATTAATTGATTCAAGGGAATCGTCGTTCCCACAGATGGCACCAAATGTTGAGGTCGAAATTCGCCACGGCCTAGTACAACACCGTTTCCTGCAAAACAAAGACGACAAAGTCAAACACCGGTGTGGTGCTGGCCGTTGACCCTCCGACGATCAAGCAAGTTAGTAGGGGTTTCTAGAGAAAGAATTTCAATCGTAATTTCCCTAGTAAGAGTTTTTTTTTGTGTACCTTATTCCCGAGTCGTCATCCTATTTATCATCGCTTCCCTTATTCTCGATAAGGGAATTTCATCATTCTTATCCCATGGAAATCTTATCCTTAATAAGATTTGTTATCATCCCCATGGAAATCTTATCCTGGGTAAGATTTGTCATCATTCTTATCTCTGGAAATCGTTATCCCTAATAACAAAATATTATCGTTGATCACCGAATAGGTCTGGCGGCTGGTCAATACTTAGTTGCTTCTATCGTTAGGTCAAGGTAGGTTAGATTTATTTTTCCCTATCATATATCAAATAGTTAAAATAAAAATAATTACAACATATACAAAGTACATGCACAATTTGGTGTTTCTTAGAATTCTAAATTGGAGTTAACAATTATAATAATTAATGGTAAGAAAATATTTAATGTAAAGTATTTTATAACTCATCCAAATTATTGTATATAGGACCATACGTATAATATATATATATATATACATATATTAGAATTTTTTTAATAAAGGTAATTTAGTTTTGAAAGGTATAATTCTTGATTTTAATTCATGTAAAATAATTTAAATTCAATAAAAATGTATATAGATCGAAATAATCAAAAGTGTACCAAACAATGTGTATTGAGAAAAGGAAAATACTTGTGATTTAGGAAAATATTAATAAAGATAATTTAGCTTTAAAATGTATTAAAATTTGTTTTAATTCATATTAAATAATTCAAAATTAATGAAAAGTATCTAAATAATTTTAAAAATACTTACACTTTTTTTTTTTTCATAAATAAAATGCTTACATTTGTATGCAAGTAGTATATGTAGTTTTTACCTAAAAAAAAAAAAAAAAAAAAAAAAAAAAAAGTAGTATAAGTAGTATTCAATGCCGGATGGCAACTCAAGTGACATAAAGTAGTATAAGTATTATTCAATGCCGGATGGCAATTCAAGTGACATAACTGTTGACTGAATTATAATAAATAATAAAATTTAAATATATGTTAGATGGACAACTCAAGTGATAAAAGCATTGAAGGAATAATATTAAGTAATAAAATTTAAATATATATGCAAGACATAGATATATAAAAAAATAAATAGATGTGTCATTCAATTATTCAAGAGCGTATTAAGGGGCTTGTGGCCTAATGGTATCTCTTTTACTTCCTTAAGTGGATGGTGAGGATTTGAGATTTTAAAGAGACAAAATGGATGTGTGAGTGGGGTTTGTGTTTCTTGCTAATTAAAAAAAAAAAAAAAAAAAAATTTATTCAAGAGGGTATTGTTGAAATAAATAAAAGACAAATAAAAAATAGATAGATGGACAACTCAAGTGGCATTACTGTTATTTTTTTATTTTTAAAAAATAAAAAATATTAATAAGGTATGAATCATAAGGTGATTTAAGGGCTTACACATTTCAATTAGATATATAGATAAATTAATTTGGTGCTTTTTAGAATTCCAAATTATAGGAGTTAACAATTATAATAACTGTTACTAAAAATATATTTAATGAAAATTATTTTGTATTTTTTAAAAATCTAAAAATTTTAAAAATTATTCACACTTTTATAATAGTGTGTGTATATATATATATACATCCAAATGATGAAAAAAAGAAAAAGAAAAAGGAGTAGGTATAATATAGGTCCGTGTCTGGCCGGAAGTGAAGGCAAAATTGAGATCTTGAACAAAATGTTTTGATATTGATAGTATAGAGCTTTTACTCTTGTTTATCCAATTCCTTCTTTCGATTGTGTATTTTGTTCTATATTTTTTTTAAGATAATACTTAAGTTCTCGCTATGATTTGATAATTAAAATAGGACGCGTCCATTTATTATTGGTCTACATCAACGGTGAGTATATTGTAGATCTTCAAGGACGTAAGTATTGTTTATTTTTTTATTCTTCCCTCCTATCCATGGCTTCACTTTTCTAATAATTTTATAGAATGTTACGTCCTACGATTCTTCTTATCGATCCTACATAGAATCTCGGTCTTTACAAACTTCACCGGACTACTATTCTCTTAATAAATATGCAACCTTGTGCTACTTTAGCATTGAAATATCAACCCTGCCTGAGCTTTTTTTAAATTTTTTTTATTTATCAATATATGAACTGAAATTGTAATTTATGGCTTATATATATCATATTTAATAGAAGTCACTATTTGGCCCGGCCACTACTCTCTTAATAAAAATTTAACCCTGTGCTACTTTTGTGTTGAAATATCAACCTTCCTTGAGCTTTTTTCCTCTCAATAAATGGACTGAAATTGTGATTTATGGCTTATATCATATTTAATAGGAGTCACTAGATAGGAAACTAAATTTGCATTAAAAGCATCATTTGAATCAAAATTAGGGTTTTGAGGAAAAATAATACCATTTGAAAGGGAAAAGTACACTATTTCTTTATCAAACTTGCAACTGAACTACAAACATAAGTAGTACGTGCTTTTAGGTCGTGGCGCGACAAGGTACTCACTCAATGGTGTGGAGTGCTGCAGTATGTGACAAACATGGCCATGTTGAAACTTGACTATATGTTATTCACAATTTAATTCTGTAACAATTAGTATGGTGATCCTTACAATGACTCCAAACAAAAATTGAGGAGTTGGTTTTCAAATAAAAATTTATAAAATATTTATTTTTTACAAAAATAATAAAGTTTATTGTTTTAGTATCCACATACATTTGATAGATTGTTTTTATTAATTTGCACATTTACTAAAATATATTTTTATTTAGTTCACTAGTATTTTCAGGGATTTTTTCTGCTTGGACATGTCCACATAATATGGCACTTCAATTTTGCCAATTGGATGTTTCTACTTTAGTTTTCAAGTTGAAGAATTGAGATTAAGTTAAGTAACTCATTGAAATTAAGTGAAAGTCATGCCATGCCACGTATATGTACGAGTGTATAGAGTCTTCTATATTTGTGGGAATTGCACGAGAATGCATGATTATTCTGGATGGCGTGGACTGTGGAGTCTTTGGAGCAAAATGTGTGAAATCCCCTATAAAACTATGGAATGGTATACAGTCTCGGAAACATCTTACTATTATTAGAATGGTACAGTGTTGATTATCCATCCATAGATATATATTGAGATGGCTATAAATAGGTAGAATTTGTAATCAATAACTAATTCTAGTACTTAGAAAGTGATTAGAAGAAGAGTTATACTCACTTTGACTTTACATTTGTCATTTTTAATATGAGTAAATTGATCATATTAGTAAAAAAATAAAAACTATTATGATAATTGTAAATATATAGAATGTATTATGGAAGGAGCTGGAATTGATTCTGCAAATTTTTTAGTTGGTCGATTGTCAGAAAATGGATTGTGTTTTGTGTTGGGGTTTAAATAAGGGTTATGTGTTAGGGTTTGATTATATTATCGGGTTGTTTGAAAAGAATAAAAAAAAAATGATTGTACCTACCAAAATTACCCAAATACTATAAATAAATAAATTTGTGTTAGATCAATCCTTTTGTACACCCAATTATTTATATCCATTTTAAAAACAAAATAAATAAATAATGATAATAATAATAAAAATATATCAAATTATTAAAAATAATAATATAATTTTTATATTAATTTTTAAATTGTTTATATGTGAGAAAAGTTTTTACCATTAATTTTAGAGACTTACTTCCAAAATACATAATAACACAAATATTTGAAAAGTTACCTCACAAATTTCCTTCCATCATGGA